CTAATATTTCAGGTTAATATAATGTAATAATGAGAAAAAAAATCTTTTGGTAATTGATTATTTTTCTTTATAAATTTTATCCGCAATTAAAACACCTTTCTGCTCATATACCATAACATTACTATAAATACCATATAATTTTATTTGATAGTAATGGATATACAACTAAATAAGCAATATTAACATACTTATGCCTTGCTTTTTCTTTAATTTTAATATTATTTAAACTTATACGTACGCTCTAAAATTTTTTTGTGTACCTTAAAACCGAAAATGGTGGCAACTACTTAACACAAAAGTGATGCACCACTTCACCAAGAACCAAGGACAGTTCCTAGTGTAGTGAAACACCAGGAATTTTCCTTTACACTACTTGGTCTGAACTAGCCGCCACCATTTTACCATTTTTTTTAATCAGTTCCACTGAAATTTAAAATTACTGTAAGATGTAATGCACATAATAGTCAATAAAGTTATTTTTACGATGCGATTTAAAATAAGTCTAATTAACTTAGAATGCATGTATACAATATTTCTTTACAAAAATTAGTTTGTTAATCAAACATGCACACAGCACAGAGAAAATATTAATATGAATTCGAACTAGGCTTAACAAATCCGAAGTGAATACAAGTTAAATATAAAAATTTTTAATACAATTGACAGATTTTTGGAAATCTAAAGAGAACATAACCATCTTTATTGTACAACTAAAAACACGCATGCCTTTTATAATATTTTATATGAGTAATTGTGAAATTAAAGCGACAAGAAGATAGAAACTTATTTGATATTAAATAATCTACGAACAATTCGTCAATTCAATCCGACAAATAGGAAACCAATTACTGTTACCAATGTGCTATTGAGTTTTTATGATGTTTAGAACTACGATAAAAAACGCTTTGAAAATCATACCAATTACTTTTGACAACAATATGAGAAAAGGAAGGATTTAAATTTGTTCCTGGATTAATTCGAAAAAAAAGATACATTTCAGCCCCGTTGATCCAATTAAATGTTCTTTTATTACTTTAAGCCCATCTTTGTCCTTTATAGTCTGTTTAATCGGCTAATAACCTTAATAATTTGGAGAAAAAATTTCTGACTAAAAGATAAATTTATAAATGTGTGACCTCTCACGTCTATGTTTGCATAGTTGTAATTGCAATTATTAAGCTGTTAAGTTTACATAAAAACACTCAAGTTATTTAGCAATTATTTTAAACTACTATTTTAACTTGCTGGAGCTTAGAATTTTTTAGAATCTTATTTTTAGAATCTTTTAGAATCTTTTTTTAATTCGTTAATACACAATGTAGAACATACCGATTAGAGGTGGAAAAAGATAAAACTTCTTATACTTCATTTGAGTAATTGTATCCCTATTTCTTTTATGAGTATTAAATGTGAAGCTTCTTATAACGAAAAACGCTATTAAAAATATATGCAAATCCGCTATCGAGTTGTTTGGGGTTGTGCTTTTAAGCCATTCGATACATATAGTATATGATACATAAAAAAAGGCATTTTAATAGTTTATAGACTATAACAAGCAGGAAACTAACAACAAATGATTGCCTGAATTCAGCAATAGATATGCTAAAACTTATCCTTTTTTAACAAAAGGCATCTTGCACAATAAAAGGGAAAGTTTTTCGATGCTTCAAAGCTAAACAAGGAAACGGATCCTTGTGTCCCATTAATGGAAGTTATCGAAGCTTATCACTTTACGTGAGTATAATGCTTCTATGCTTGTGAAAATGAATAAATCATTTTAGCATTAGACGATGTTTTAGAACTGAATTCAAGCTTAGTATGAACTAATGTTGTTAATCACCAACATACAATTGAGAAAAAAAGTTGAGTCAAAGCTAACAAAATATGGTAAAATTTAATGTGTTTCTGGCACTATGAGAACACCGAAAAAATTCTGTAATTTTTTATCAAAGCCCTTTGGTTATGATTTAGATAAAATTAAATGTGTGACGTTTGATAAAATTAAATTTTGTAAAGTTTTATAAATTTTTATAAATAATTGCTCTAATTTTTGTAAATAAGTTTCGTAAAATGTGGTGTAAAGTTTTATAATGTGTGATGAATTTTGCAAATGTGGTAAAATTTAGTAAATTTATCACGAAGAGAGGCAGTGTATTTGGAGTATGGCATAAAAACCACTTATTCGGTTAAATTTTCTTTTCAGTTCTGTATTTGTTACTAAATTTGTGGTGGTAAGAACTATCACATATTTAAAGCCAGAATTTCCGGTAAACCGTTATATGTTAATTATATGAAAGGAATGGTTCAAACACCGTATATTTTGGTTTCTTTAACCAGAAGTATGTTTTCTTACCAGTAATTTCCTTACCATACAGTAAGTTAATTTTACCATAATTTTTTCTACGTGTAATTTTAAACAAAAGCAAATATAATAAAATTAAGTTTAAAAGTTTGAAACTATATTTAATATAAATGGCTTGAATTAAGTTAGGCTAAGTTATTTTTCAAAAGTTGGCTTGGTTTCGAAGGCTTGGCTAAGTTATTTTTCAAAAGTGCATTTTTGAAATAAACTGTTGCTTCTTCTTTTCTAGAAGGATAATTTTCAAGTTTCTGAAATTTCCAATAAATGACAGCACAATACACAGAAACATATTGTTGCTTACATGGAAAATCATTTGTTTCTCTCCAAAAAGCTCAGTTACAAAAACGTATTCCTGTATTCTTGATCAATTTAAAAAACGTGACTTATATTTGCCCAAGACTCTGTAAATGTATGTAAAATGTATGTATTTAAATGTATGTAAAATGTATGTCTAAATGTATTTTTAAATGTACAAATATAACAGAAATCACAATAAACTTTAACTAGGAAAATAGGAAAATCTTATAAATATTCATATGTCATGAATGTTCATAAAATTCCTATGAGCATTCATATGTCTCTTTTACAAGCAGTAAAAGTCATTAAATTTTAATTACTCTTTGTTGTTGAAATCATTGTTCAAAATAGTTAGTTCTGCTCATGTGAATTATAAATGAACTTCATTAAATGACATGGGTGGAAAATGCTTAGTATTATTAGTGCAGTTTTTTCAAAGAGATTTAGGAGCAAACTTAGCCACAAATTACAATTTAAATAATAAATACTCTAATCATTTCAATTTAAAATTGACAAAAATGGAAAGATATCTAAATATATATAAAAGAAAAATGTCGAAAAAGTTTGAAGGCTAAAAATTTAAAGATTTAATAACATTTTCTGTATGAATAATATACAGTTGCTTTCTGATACTTTTAGTGAATTTCAAACAAATACAGTAGTCAAACTGTTTTGAAGGATTTAATAATGAGCAATAAATGTCGAAAATGATTTTTTACGACAGGTAGCCCTACTGGATTTATATTAAAATATTTGCTTAATTTACATTTTGTTTTTACCAAATTTAAAATGAGAAAAATTATTAAGTGTAAAAAAATTTAATAAACCTTGAATATTGTAAATGCATGTTAGTTTAAGAGTTTTTATTAAAAAATTACTGTATGCCTTGGTAAAAAAATATTTTTTTTATAAAATATTAAATGTTAATTATAGACAGTACTGTTAATTTACTTGAAACAAACATAACTACGCAAATTGTTTATTCGACCCCATACTGAATAATATTTGAGTTGCATAATCTTAATAAAACTATATCGATTTTGTGATCGATGGTAATTAATTTTTTTTAAATAAATTAGATTTTTAATTTAGCGTAATTTTAATGTCCTGGTTCCTTAAGCATACATATTATCTTATAGCATATTTTCTGTCAAAAAACTTTTTTTTTCGCTGAACTAATACCAGCAGTGATCACGTTCCCCTTCTATGACAACATAATATCACATAATAAAAACAACTATCGCTATGTTCTCAACCTTAATCTAATCCTCAGAAGTTTTATTCCATAAATTTATAAGCTAAACTGAAATCATATAACAATTTTTATGACAAGATATAGTTCAAATAACTTTGCACGTGATTTTGACAAGTTTTGTAAGTAATACATTTTTCCGCAGCCGACAATTAAGTACATTTAAACACGGGGATACCTGTTATTTAAATTATTGTCACTTTTATGTTTTATTAAAATTTACATGTTGAATCAAAGTTTTATAATATATATATATATTTATTTTTTCTGTGTCTGATACAGCTAAATTACTAGGTCCCAGCCTTCTTTGCCTCTTTTTATACTGTAATTAAACCAAGAGTAATTAGGATTAATTTTTAAATATCTAGTTTAGTTACCTGCTATTTGTAGTAAACAGAACAGCTTATCGAAGATACAATTTTAAAGCTACTTTTGAATAAAGTTCGAATCTTTAAATGTTGTCCGACTCAGCCACCATAATTATTGTTTTAAATTATTTCCTTTTAGTTTAGCAAAAATTGTTCCCATGGCTCCCTGGATAGTCTGTTTCCAGAAGAGGTAGCCATTTTAAAAATAGTCATTTTATTTACTCAATTATAAAAAAATAAAGCTTTGACAAGGTCAGGTATTAGCTTTCTCCTTTGTTACTAGTATAATTATTTTAAATTTGTAATTTAAATTTTCATTTGATTCTTTTTCATAACATAGTTAAATATTTCGTAAGATTAAATTACGTTTTTCAGTTTTAATACAAGCATTTTTTCCCCAATTTGTGGCCTGCATTCCCCAATGCCCATTACCTAACGAAAAGCCTGGCACCAATGTCAAGTTAAATTTCATTTCTACTGTTTTTAAATCATGCTAGTTGAAAATGGTTACAAAACCATATAATTTTATATTCATGGTCTTATAACCATACTAGTTGCAAACGATTTCAAAACCATTAAGCTAAAAAAAAATTTATTTGCCGTAAACTTGACTGTTGATTGGATGAACAAACTGCTGCCGGTTATTTTGTCACAATTTTAGAATAATAATTCTAACAGTGTATAATACATAATTTTCTATTAAAAAGAATTAATAACTTACCTTTCGAAAACTTAGAATATCGAATATGTGAGAGAGCAGTTTAGGAAAGAACTTTCCTTCTTCTTTGGTTGGTTCGGTCACTTCATTAGATTCGGACTCAGATTGACCAGTGCATAGTGGAAGCATTAACATACAAATAAGAACACACATTAAGCCCTTTTGAACCATAATTGCTTTATTCTTTGTTCCACTCGTTGATCCCTAGGAAGGTATACGTTTTTTAGAATAAAAAGAAGTCTTTGTGCTAAAAAAAAGGGATCAACACCACATCATCAAAAATACACTTACAAAAACATGCCATGAACGTTTAGCAACAATAGGTTCATATAAAAACTTATTTCACAGATAACGATAATATTTGTTTGAATGATAAAGCGTAATTGTAGTAAACGCCAAAACCTTTGTGGGAATTCCGTTTCCAAACATTAGAAAAAATTAGATTACATCAAAAAATTTAAAAAGCAGTTTCAAAATCATCTAGATTAAAAACGACTGAGTCAATATTCTTAAGTACTTACTTATTCAAAAACGTGTTGAACTATGTTGAGGATTAGTGCAAGATCACGTTAATGTGAGTCGTTAAACGTGACAAAATTCTTGTTCTACGTTCAAAAGTATCAAAATGAGATAGCGAATTTGATTGGTTTCTGACTTTAACAATCTTCATGTGAAATTCTAATGCAGTACATTTATATAATATTCGTAAGTTCATACGTACAACTGATTTCAACCTTTTTCCAAATAAGTTTGATAGGATCTGTATTTGAATTTATTCAATCCTTCGATCTAAATATGAAAGCTTCTGTTTTTATTTAGAATTCTATTTTTAATATGAAACGATCTGTTTTTATTTAGAATTCTATTTTTAATATGAAACGATCTGTTTTTATCTAGAATTGATATATAAAAATATAAAAAAATTGAGGTAGAGATACCGTACTGTATCGGTAATGACATTTCTAGTGAGAAAAAAAGGAAACAAACATTATTCTTGTTAATAAAAGCAAAATATACGGTTTTTAAACCATTTATTGGGCAATTTTTTCGTTTTTATTGTAGCGGTTTACCGGAAATTCTGATTTTCAAAATTATAGTTCTTATTACCACACATTTAGTAAAAAAACTGAAAAATAAATTTAAGTAAATAAATGGTTTTTATGCCTAGCTCTGAGACATAGTGATAAAATTACCAAGTTTTACCACATTGACCAAATTTTACCATACATTATAAAAACATATTTTATTGTTATTTTTACCAAAATCATTGACAAAACGATTCTGTAAAAATAACTGAGCTTTTAAGTGTTCCCATAGAACCAGAAACACGGTAAATGTTACCATATTTTGGCAGTTTTCTGTGAGTTAGAAGATTAATTTCTTTTTTAAAAAAATCCTTCCGAACAGGGAGATAAATGCCCATCAATTCATGACTTTAGATTAAAGAGTTTTGATGTTCCTATAAAGACAGAAACATGGCAAATTTTATAAAGTCCTGGTAGTTTTGACCATTTTTTTTTCTCAATGATGTCTTAACATTGTTTTCATTTACAAGTATAATTTAAAACAAAATTTAATCTTCTCCGCAATTGAAAATCTCTCAAAATGTTTGTCATTTGAAAATCTCTCAAATGATTTTTTATCTATTGACATTTTATACTAAGATATTACAAGCATAGCTACATTTTTACTAAATATTATTTTGACAATTATATTAGTTAATTTAAGGCAAAAAAATTACAAATGCAGAATTTAATAACAAATGATATTACCTTACAACAAACGCTCATAGACCAAAATTTGATTGAATAAGGAAAGAGCACAGACAAAAGAAAAAATACTTTTTATGGGGGATGATCCCCAATAATGTCTTTCTCATTTTTAATAAATCTTGCTTAATAGTACAAAATGATATTTGGAGAAAACCCCTTATCATTTTGAGCATTCTTTAAAAAGTACGAAACTACTTAGAAAATTGCTTGAGACTTTTAAATTTTTAATAAACTCAAATCGAACTTTTTTTTTATTAGTTGCCGAATACGATTCACTACAAAATTAAGTAAAAAAGTCTTATATTTTTTCCCAAGCATGCGCAGTGGAAAAGAGATACTTTAATTATAATCATATGTATCACAGTTTTAGAGGAATTTTTCTTAAATTTTAAAGCAATAATTTTGTAATTAATTTTAATTTAATCCAATTTTTTTTTTAATTTTATGGAATATTTTCAAAGTTATTGTATAAAAACTTAAGGGAAAAAAATTAGTTTTTGATAAAAATGTCCATACCTCCATAAATGTTTAAGTTAAGTTTACGAAATTTTGTGCAATTATTGCATGTAATAACCAAAACAACTATCACAAATTAAAAACCTATTACCACAATTTTTGGCATAGGGTGTTCAAAAACAGTATTTTCCGTTTGTAATTTATTTTCGGTCCCTTAAACGTCTAGAAGTTTTGTTTTATGTATATACATTGCTAATACATTGACGTGAACTAAACACTTCAAACTGATTCTCTAATTACTTTTTGAGAATAATCGAGAAAAAGTGTCAGTATAAAAGCATTTCCTTTATTTTGTCCAACCCTTGTAAAGGGCTTATAGAATATTTAATTTTCCAATTATTTTTTTAAATAAGGCAATTTGCATAATTGCAAGTGTGCAGAAAAATTGATCTGAGGTTGATATAACCCAGAAACTACTTTTATTAGTCACTAAACTTGCCTATTATTATTAGATCTCATATTAGTTTTATCATAATAAATTATCAATAGGGAAGTCAAGATTTCCCAAACATGGCCTTAAAGTAAAGTGACCACACGTCCCGATTTTGGCGGGACAGTCCCGCTTTTTAGTGGACTNTAAGTTTCGAACGCCATTTGAATAAGTTTCGTGCATTTCGATTCATATAATAAAACTCTAGAAAACAACCTTTTGAGCATATTAAAATATTTTTCTTATGTAATTATAAAATATTTCATTAAATTAACTAAAAATAATAATTCATTTTTTAAATCCAATGCTTTTAAATATTTTTTAACCAGTCAAATATTTATAGGAAAAAGATGAAAAGCAAATTTTGCATTTTCTGTTGCTTTAAATTTAAATGAGTTTTAAAAACCACACTAAACTCATAATATTTTAGACTTAATTGTCTTGCTAAGTACCGTTTACATTATATACAAACTTATAGACATTCCTCTTATATAGTGGAGCATTAATTATTATTAAATAATTAATAGGAATTTAGAGGCTGCATTTATTTCGCATCTTCCGAAGTTGTTATTATTATTGTAGCTGTTATAATGTAATTTAAAACTTGTTGTAGCTGTGTATAATTTATATTGAAAAAAAAGTAAGGAAAACGTTACATGTATTGTCATTTATACAATCCTCAAATTGTTTTTCATAATGATGTAAATTCTGTGATCTTGTACTTAAATTATTTTTCGTTTCTTTTTGCACGTTTCCACCACCTTAAAAATCTTATAGCTAAAACTCTCTCTAATATAAATCTCTCTTAAGCTAAAATCTAAGCTCGGAATCACTCTTATTAAACAAATATTTCTGTAAAATTTAGGGTGTAATATCTTATGGTAAAAATGGATTTTACGGATGATACACCCAAAGTGCCGGTATTTAATACCGTAATTATATCCGGAATCTTTTACTGTGTAGTGTTTTTAAAATCAAGCAGATTTTAATTACAGATTTTAATTACAGATTTTAAATTTAGTTTAAATGGATTATCTAGTTCATAGTAAAAGTTTTTTTACTCAATATTTCCCAAAAAGATATCTAAAATGGACATAATAAGGTATTAAAATAAGAAACATTTTATATGAACACATTTTAAAAATTGAGTGATTAGAAAGACGCGATTTGTAGGCATTGAAAATCATATTTATTATTTGCAAAAAGTTAATGGTAAGTTTTAAGTCGTTACGTTATGCGTTAATAGCCTGAAATTGAAATTTTATTTTCTTTGTAATTTATTAATTGCAATTTTTGTTTTAATAACGGGTCTTAGAAAACTGCTGGTCTAAAAAATCATTCCATTAGTAAGATTGCTGTTAAAATCTAGAAGCCCTATCTTGCCCCCTGGTGATCATGATGATCACGAAGGAGGGATCAAGATTGAAGCAATTAGATGTTAAAAATATCAAACAGCTCTAGAGTTGTTTCTTTCAATCCGACCTGCTTTTCTCGAAATTTCACTATTTTTCACAATTTTCACGCTATCTTTATTTTGCAATACAGTACCATCTACGAGCCAAAATACAAAAAAATTGTATGTCAAATTGAATGACATTCATCTGAAAAAAACCAAATCTACAATAAAATACATATATGGATTCCTCTGAATTGATTACTTTCAATTGGCTCTTTACATACCTGTAGCAAAATAGATTGGTGAATCAAGTTTTGTATCATTGAAAGCAGTTTTTGAAAAGAAAAAAGAAAAATTTCGTGTATTTTTGAATTTTTGATTCTGTGTGCATGTCTCGAGATATTTGACCATTTTCATACAATTTAGACCCTTGTAAATGGGTAAGATTAGTTTAAGGAGAAGAGAATTATATCAACATTGACCAATGAAGATGTACGGAGAAAAAAGTGTGGTCAAAACTACCAGAATAAAGTAAAATTTACCGTGTTTCTGCCTCTATGGGAAAAATCAGAAAGCTCAACAATTTTTTACCGAAGTGCTTAGGTTATGACTTTGGTAAAATTAACAATAAAATGTGTGTCTTTTTAAATATGATAAAATTTGATAAATGTGGTAAAATTTTCTAATTTTTTCATGAAGCCTTAGAACGTGATGTAATAAACCATTTATTCGGTATTAAATTTACTTTTCAATTTCGTATTTTTTTTTTCTTTTTTTCACCAAATGTATGGTAATAAGAACTATTTTTCAAAACCAGAATTCTCGGTAAACCATTTTCATTAGCTTTGTTAATTAGTACGGCATTAAACCAAATAACTGGTTTAAATACCATATATTTTGATTTTGTACAGCAAAATAATGTTTTTTTTTACCAGTAATGCCAGTACCATACCATTTTTTTACCAGATTTATTTCTTTGTGTACTTATTGTTAGTTGAGCCCAACTTGATACATTTTCAATTTATTGTTAATCTAAAGCTAGCAAATTTGTCTACTTTTTTTGCAGACAATACAATTGTTAAATTGATACAGTTTTAATGACTGTTGATTGATGACTATCTGATTTGCACCAAAGCTTTTAATTTTTCTTTTAAAAGAGGCGTTTATCCTTTATTATAATAAATAATTTTGGCAAAAAAAAATCTGTTTTCTCTTAAAGTTTCTTTCCTTCGAAATATTGCAGATTTTTTTTTCATTATGTGGATAGATAAACAAAAATAAATATTTATTTTCACGATAAATCTATTTTTATTTCATAAACTTTGATTTTAAAGCATTCTTGATAACTTATGAAGAGATACATATTGCGATACATTTTTATGACGAATAAAATCTTTTACTCGGATTAGTCTGTTATAAAAACTGGTAAAAAAAAAAAAAAGCTCCATCATGATGATTCTCATTTATTCTATCTGCAAAATAAATCTAGACAATATTTTTTGTATAGACAATATTATTTAACGAGAATAAATTTAATCATTGCTTATAATAAGAAAAATATTTTTAGAAGCAAATTATTATTCTGAACCTCTTCTGATAAAAAAAAAAGAACAAATGAGTGTAAACTTAAACGAAATAAGAAATTATTTTTTGAACAACTCAACTCAAAAACAATGCCAATAGAGAAAATTCATAAGTATTATACCTAATTTTTTTATGCTCTTTAGAAAAGTCATGTCCAGTCAAGTGACCACCTCTACACGGAGAAAATTAGCGCAACTGTACAGTAATGACACTTCTGGTTTTAAGAAAAAAAATTTAAGAATTAAAAACTACTTAATTTTGCTCAATAACACTTAAGTATACAGTATTTAAACTATTCATTTAGTAATTTTTCCTTTCATATGGTAACAGTTTATCGGAAATTCCAGTTTTCAAAATTATAGTTCTTATTACCACAATTTAGTAACAAATACAAAACTGAAAAATAAATTTAACGGAATAAATGGTTTTTATACCATGCTCTTGGGTATCATGATAAAATTACCAAATTTTTGTATTATAAAACTATATTTATTATTAATGTTACCAAAATCATTGCATCAAAATTATAAAAAAAATTCTTCGATAAAAATTATCGAGGATTTTCGTATTCCTATAGAGCAAGAACCATACTTTTCACCATTCTTTTTTTCACAGTATAGAAATAATAAAAAGTGAGGACCAAATCTGATCATTTAGAAGTCCATTTGATATTTTTGATGATCATTGATTATTTAATAAATAAAAATTAGGAAAATCTATATATATATTTCTCTTACACGGCGATAAAAAAAAGCCTCATTACAACTCCCCGAATGGCAACGCTAGAAAATAGACCAANGCTCTAAGGTATCATGATAAAATTACCAAATTTTATCTCATGTTATAAAACTATATTTATTGTTAATTTTACCAAAATCATTGCAACATCAAAATTATAAAAAAAATTCGTCCACGAAAATTATCGAGGATTTTTGTATTCCTATAGAGCCAGAACCATACTTTTGATCATTCTTTTTTTCACAGTATAGAAATAATGAAAAGTAAGGACCAGATCTGATAATTTAGAAGTCCATTTGATATTTTTGATGATCAATGATTATTTAATAAATAAAAATTAAGAAAATATATAATAATATTTCTAAATTCCTCGCCCTTCTAGAAATACAGAAAAAAGTGATGTGGCCAATTATCAGGAACGATTTTTCCGATCCATTTTAACGATGAAAAAGGTATCGATGAAGAAATCAATCGGAATTTCAGAAAATTTTCTTTCACTTCCTGAATTGTTTAATAAACAAATTATTATTAACGTATCATATTCAAGTGCCATTCATATTATATATTTTAATGCTAGATAAATTTCTACACATTATTTATTTTTTATTTTGAAGCTGATATTTTATAAGTAAAAAAAAATTATTAGCTTAGTGTTATCTCGAGGTCTGTCGAGTTTGTGTAATGAAACATTTTAACATTGGCTTTTTATGTAGCTCTGAAAATTATGTGTTGAGCAAGTTTCAGGTACAAATATTATTCTTCATTCTGAAAGAAAACATCCATATATGTGCCAAAATATTCGCTCCAGTAATATGGCATTTGTAGTAACGAATTATACATTTTTTTTCACTGATAAAAAGTATGGTCAAAACTACCAAAATATCGTATCGTTTACCGTGTTTCTGGCCTTCACTATGGTAACAATGGTAATTTTTACCGTAGCGCTTTGGTAAAGATTTAGTAAGCTTAACACTAAAACATGATTTTGTAATATATTACAACATTTGGAAAATGTTATAAAATTTGGTAATTTTATCATGATACCTTAAGGCATGGAGTAAAAACAAGCTATTCGGTTAAATTTTCGTTCCAGTTTTGTATTTTTTACTAAATATGCGGTAATAAGAGCTATAATTTTTGAAATACCAGATAAACCATTACCATCTGAACAAAAAAAAATAGCTAATGTATGATTTAAATATTATATACTTTGGTTTTATCAACCAGAATTATGGGTTTTTTTTTCACCAGAAATGCCAATACCATACAGAACGGTGATCTTACCAAAGTTTTGCTCTCCGTGTATGTCGCTCAAAAAATTGAGAGCAAAGAATATTGCAAGATCTAATATTATTCGTCATTCTTAATGGAAGCATTCATATTTGTGCCAAAATATTCCCGTCAGAAATATGGCTTTAGATTTGCAAATTTTACACGATTTATTTATTATCTGTTTACTTATTTTTTAATTTTCTTAATGCCTAAGAAAGCATATGTTAATTATAACTAATTTTAGTTAAATATTTTTCATTTATATAATAGGATGAAAAATTTAGTTTGTTTTAGTTCATTGTGACGTTATTTTCAAAGTTTTTTAAAAGAGAAATTTTTCGCAGCTGTATCTCTTAACCCTAATGTAATAATAATCCTCTAAGCCTAAATATTTTTTTTTCGCAAAATAGTTAATTTAAGGCATTTTAAAGACCATTTAATACAATAATAACCTAATTAATTTAATACATACAAACTTAGTGCTTTTTTTCTGCCTACAAGTGAGCAACTTGGATTATTTTAATGGAGCTTTTTAAAAAAAAATTTTGATTTTGATTATTAAATAAAATACTTAGTTTTGGTATAGCATGAGAATTTTTTAGAAACTAAAAAAAAACAAATACTGTCTGATTAAAATTATAGTGATAAAAATTTTTGAATAATTTTTAATTAAAAGCTACCATTGAACTAAACATAATGTTAGTAATAATTCCTGTTGATTGGAACAGTCATTTTAGAAAAAATGTTCCTTTTCAGTTGAGTCGTCAGCAGTTTTTTGAAATTACATACAAGTAAAGCAAAAAGGGAAGTTATTTTAGAATTATTAGTATCTGAATTTTACAACAAGAAATCTAAATTCAGATCCAGAATTTTTAGCAAAGGAACGTGTAATGACCTTTCAACTTTACAAAAGTGCAGTAAATAAATACTTTTTAAAACTAAAGCAATAAATATTTTCTTAACAAAAGGCAATAAATACTTCGATAAAACAGTGGAAACAATATGTACTTTTAAAAAAAACTGGTGAATAGACAAATATGCTCTGTTGTTTACATACAACCATTTATGACACTTAAATAGACATTTCTTCTTCTAATTTGCTCCATCAAAATTAATTAATTGCAAACAAAATCATGTTTTTTAATTTGTCTGCAAAGGACAGTATTCTTTCATAAAAATTTAATATTCTTAAATAAGTAATAAATATTAATACATTTCAACACGGCATTGTAGTTAGAATTATTATTTCTCAAATACATATAAAAAATGTAAACACGAAATGTAAACATGCCATCTAGCTATCAAATTTGTTTATTTACTCACCTGTTTCTTAAAGCCGTTCGCAGCGAGTGGGCATACGTCTTCCACAGTGTCCCCCTAACCGAAACCAAAACCAGGAAGCTGAACTTAATCTTCAGCCGTCTCGAGTACGACTGCCAACTTGAGGATTTTCATCACTCGCAGAGTCGAAGTCAACGACCTTGGCCGTGGTCCCTTCAGGGTCACTGGGGCATCTGCGGAATTCGCTCGGGGCCCACAGTCGACCGATCGACCACTTTCGGATTCGATCGTAACTCGATTTGTGAGAAGATGCGGAAATCATTGCCTGCTAGAATTGTCTTCCCAGTATTAAGGATGTAAATAGATTTATAAATGAATTGGCATTTTCCCCACAGGTGGTAAGTGAAAAATTGTACTGGACTTTTACTTGCTCTTTTTTTTTTTTTTAAGTATTGTTTAATCTAACTTCAAGCAAGGGGAAAACAGGGAAAGTGTTTAAAATAATTCAAATAAGAATAAATATTTTAAAATATTTCTGGACACTCAATAATTCTTGGCTAATTTTCTCTCCTCAATATATTTGAATACACAATCAAATTAAATCCTGTCACAATTTTAAAAATAAAGTATATTCAGCATTTATAATGTATTCAGGGAAAAAATTACTATTTTTTGTTACGGTGCTAAGCTGTAAGTAAAAAAAAAAAAATAGAGAGAGATTTTAGTGAGGTGTAGTCCCCGAACCAATTACGTGTAACGTCCCACAAATATTATTCGTCCAAAATACAAATTTTATGAAAGCAATACAATTGTATTTATGAGTATAAAATTATTAGTAAATAAATTCAAATGAAAGAAAGAAAAATTTCAAGGGAAAACAAATCTTATACATTTTGTAAAAATTAAAATAAAGGAAACAATCCATCAAAAGATAAACAGGTATGCTAATATTTTGACTTTTTTCTGAAACTCAACAACAAAACATAATTTGACTTTAAATGTACTCTTGAAAAAAATTTCAAAAGTGTCAGTTATTTTTTTAAAAAGAAATTCTAATAATTGTCTCTTACGGCAGGGCAGACTTTCCTCAAATGAAGGGTTTAAACCTATATTTCCTTAAAGAGTGGCCGAACGTGCTCAAATCTTGAGAACATGTCTCGAATTTCAATAGTTATCTTTAAAAACTTTTAAGCTCTTTGAGAACAACAGAAAAAAAATGCTCAAATCTTAAAATTTATCTTCAAATGTCGAATTTCTTAGAAAACATCTCCTCTTTTTTTTATATAAATACACTTAAATATCGAAAAGTCAAAAATGTGTATGTTTTTCTTTTAAACAAGATATTTTTCTCCTACAGAGAACACAAGCGAAAAACAAAAAAGCACTAAGCTAAAACTGACTGATGAAAACTCTAAACTCATTTGAAAATAATTTCAACAAAAAATGAACAAATTTTAAGAATCATGTACTTATTCATTTCATGTATATGTTAAACAAATGCCGAATAACATAACTAATATGTTAAGACTGTTTTGTAATATAATCAAGTCTGATTAAGATAGTTTTTCTCACCTTATATTGGTTAACAATTTAAAATAAAACAAAATTTTGTTGCACGAGTAAGTTTATATTTTCCATAAATATATGGGTGTACTCCATTTGCAGGGCCCACGCTAATCATTCGCTACCTCGTCAAATGAGATAAAATCGTAAATTTGGCAAAATAAATTCTGTTTTGGCAAAAATATTGGCTAATGATTTTTTTCAACCGAAAGAAAAATAAATATTGTCAAAAAGAATTTTCCTGAACAGGTTACGTCCATACGTCCTAGATACGCTCATACGTCCCATAACAGATTGGAACTATAATAAGTCCAGATAATGCAAACCAAAGCTACAAAGGAGATTATGTAAAGCATGAGACAAACTACTGTAAAATACAGATTAATAAGTTCGTTACCGGATTGCGCGATATCACGTCACGAAATTCTTTCCTATAGTTTGTGTCAATAAGACAGATTAACCCCTTCCTTCTCGCTCCCGTGAAAATGGCGGGTGAGGTTTCGTCCTCTATTTCTCGCTCCCGTGATATTTCCGGACTGGGGTGTCCAGTAGTACCACGCCAATAAGAATGTAATTCATTCATTTCTTTTGCTCGGAAAACATTTTATTTCTCATTTTACACACCAGTGGCAGTACCAGGATATTTTTAAGGTAATTGTTGATAGTTAGAGAAGAGATGAAAACAATAAGAGATGTAGGAAGGAAACTCAGTACTACTGTCCAGATTGTGACGTTGGCCTCTGTATCTCATGCTTTGAAATTTATCACACAAGAAAAAATTACTAATCTTTATTTATATTATACTAAAGTTTAATAAAATTCTTTTTTAATTTTTAAAACACATATTTTTTTAAATTTTCCGTGCTGGAAAACCAACATTAAGTCATAACAAACCTGAATGTTAGCTTTTCCGAAAAATTTAATTTTTTTTAAATTTCAAGCTAAAAACAAATCAAAAATTAAAAATGAATATACATATATATATATTGTTCATACACATATTTTTATATAATTTTCAGGGATTAAAAAAATAGGCACTTTTATGACCGTTTTCTTGAAAGTTAACCGATCGTTAAGGGGTTAAAGGGGTAGTCAAGATGCGTATTATAATCTAACTTTTTTTGCAGAAAATATTTTTCTCGTGACAATAACATATCAATAACGTGACAACAACATAATTTTAAACTTCGTAATAAATTTGTATTTTGTTTCAAAGTTTTCACCTGGAAAAAATCAATCATAAACAATTTTTAAATTTTGTCTTTGACTAAGAATTTCAAAAATTGCGAATACCTTTCATATTTGGCTAATTTACTGGCTAATAATTTGGAGTCCTTAACGTGGGAACTGACATCGTAAGATTTTTAGAGGACGCTCCACCACTAATTTCTCTTCAAACTATGGTTTAACACCTTAACATTACACATCCACTGAGCGACACCTGCTCAAGAATAGATCTCAACAAAATAAATAAATAAATAAAACATGAACTGGGATTTATTTAACTTTAAAGATCTAACTGATAAGTAAAAAAGAAATTTAAAAATTGGAACATTTGTTTAGCTTAGTACAAAAACGTTTTTCGTTACAGCCAAAGGATGTATTTTTACTATCAATAATTCCCTCGTTTTTTAAGTGCAAGATGTTCCCCTCGAAGAATTTTATGCGAATCAAATGCAAAATACGTAATGACCACCCATAATGAATGTTTTTAGAGTTCATGTGAAAAATGAAACTAAATAAGTACATATGCATCGTGTATCGCAAACTATTTTTAAGTGCAAAAAAATAACAAACAATCAATACCCAATGAATCATTGCTTAGGAAGGCAGAATTGGAAGAAAAAAAATCAATGCTTGTTATATTGCACGAAGAATTATAGAAGAGATGAAATGCGATTATTGATAGTAGTTTGGAGTTTTTTGTCCCACCGTCCTCAGTAACAATTTGTTCGTTTCCACTAAAAAAATAATTTCCTTTTTTACAGGGTTGCCCTTTAATGTGCATAGTACTTTCTTCACCTAATTTTTGACAAAGATTCTAAAATTGTTTATTAAGAATGGACGTTGTAGATCATCCTGTTTATCAAATCAGATTGAAGCATTCACTCAAACAAAGTGGACAGGGGAGGCAACTATATTCATCTTTTTATAATGTTACGACGACATTGTAGGGTGATGGGAAAGTAGTCTAGGATGCCCTCGGTGTTATCAGTATCTTTGAAATGGGTTTTTATAAATGAATATGATTTTAAAACCTATTTCTTTGTTTTTTTTACAGTGTCTAATTTTCTGTACACGGAGCGAATTTTCGTTAAGCTAATTACTAATTTGTGTTACAATTATATGTGTTTATCTTTTTTTATCTGAGGGTGATTGACTATAAAAAGATATTTATTTGAAAACGCTTAATCGTAAGTATTAAAATGTTCATGGAGTAACATATCATTTAAATGTGCCTTAACTTAAATACTGTGTAAAGTTTTTCCATATTATCGTGAAGATTATACTTTCTTGGCAATGATTATGAGATACTATGGTTCAATTTGAACAGAAACATGATTAAATTTAACCTTATACACTGTTATGCTGCAAATTAGTATAGTATTATGATTCAATGTATATCAGTATTTTGGTTTTATCTTTAAACCACTTTTCAAAAAAAAATATTCGTTATTCCCTCAAGCAACGAGTCAAGAATGCTTTTCTTCCCTTCCAATAATCCTAAACCATCAAACTAAAGCTCATTACGCACCAAAAAATAAAACCAAAATACTTTTATTCTTGTTGTGCAGCACCATATTGAAAATCTTTAACAAAGTATGCATTGAACACAAAAGTTCTCTGGGGTGAGTTGTTTTTTGGTATACCAAATAATTCAATGTTCATAATAAAAATCTCAATAGAAATTCCTTAATTTGTCATTTATAAAAAAATTTTATGATGAATAATATGCATCCATATGTTTGAGACATATTTGTTTTCAGTTTAAATTGTCGCACATCTCCTTCTACGATGTGAATTGTTGCTGAGTATCATACAAAATATATAGCTATAGAGTTTAAATTATTAAGTTTTGTAATTTTAAACCTTACTTATAAAATAACGCAACACCAGAATATAATAGAACAAACTAAATTTCGATAATATTTTCACTGAAATTTACTCGTACTTGCAACATGGGAAGGGGTAAATGGTCCCTAAACTATACTATCAATGCAAATCCAACCCATGATTTATCTATGACAAGTGGTATTTTTTAATGGAACTAAATTTAGCGCAAGTCTTGAGAAATGTAAAAACCCTGCAAGCATACGCCGTAGCTGGTATTCGAACTTAAAAGTCATTTTCTAAATTCAGTTTGCTAGCAAAGTGCAATTTTAAAACTAATCAATTTCCTGAATATTTTCGACTGATCCTCACTTAAGTAGAAGAGAAAATATTCATCTTCGAGTGCTGCTAGTACAGTGTCATTAATTTCGCCTCATTGATTATTGATTTACATCATTTTGTACTAATATATCAATTTTTTAAAATACAATTGACCCATACTCTTATATAAAAAGTAAAATATACCTATATTTTACATATATACCTATACTTTATTTTCGAATTAT